CTATGGCTTTTTCTGCACTTCTGCACTCACTTAATAAATGACAATGAACTGAATTTCTTTGTTTTATGGCACACGCATGAATATTCCCAAATATTCAATATTTGCAACAATATTGGTAAATGACAAATAAATAACATTTGGAGCCCTTAAACAGATTAAAGTCTAATGTTTGTTTTTACTACCAGACCCTTTTAATTTAGGAACATTAAAAAAGAAAAAAGAAAAAAGAATAAGGAATAAGAATAAGTGAATTTCCCATTTCAATAATCACAGCAGTAGTACTGTAGAGCTCCTCTCCAAGAATAGATATAATGACAATGTAAGCACTTTTCTTCTCCTCTGTTTCCCCTCCTAAATGCTAAATAAAGCTACGGGTCTGTAGTTTTACATACACTGTACAGACATAGATTCATTGTGACTATTTGTGTTGGTCTTATTCTGTCAGTGAGTATTTCCTTCTTACATTAATCACTCAGTGAAGACAACACAATAAAACCCCAGTGTCTCACAGACTATGTCTGAGCTACACATCTGTTCTCTTATCACTGCGTACTCATCAAATTCACCTCTGGTGACTCACGTCTGTTTGCCATAAACGTTCGGAAATTCCCTTAAATGTTGTTCGACTAGTTGCTACACGCAGGCATATTTCTACCTTTCATTTCACATCAACAACCACAGCTCACCTGCTTTCCTGGGTTTTGGGTCTAACAGGTGTTTCGGAGGAATCGTTTGACTCGACAAACCTTTATCTGGCACCAGCCAGCCCTGGTATCCCAAGATAAACTGTTGTGAAATGTGAAGACATGGGAAGCTGGTGGCCTGTGTTTTCCTGAGAACAGGATACCACTTGAGAGAAGTTCACCTTGTCCTCCTCTATTGTGTATTGTGTGAATGAGGAAGCGGTTGGTGGATGTGAGAGCCATGCGGACGAATTCATCCCTCTTCTTCCAACACTATCAGTTACATTCCTTACCAATCCCGCCCTATCAGTTGACCCTGTCTGCTATTCTGCCTCGTTCTTTCCCACAAAGACCAACATGCATCCTGTCACTTTTAATCCCCTAACCTCGGACTCAATGTGGATGTAATCACCGCAGTCGTTTGGAGATGTTAACACGGCCTGAGGGAATGAAAAGACAGATAGAAGAAGGATAACAGAGCCAGACATCTGGTTTGTTTTGGTTTTCACTTTGACAAGATAGCACAACTTCACATCCACAAGTAATCACACTTAAACTGTGAAATATGAGCAGATATGATTTATGAGTCACACCGACTAATACGATTGTATGAGTTGAGAGGTTGTCTATGGAGCTGTGGTGATTTATTTTTTTTCATACCCATATCTTGATGCACTTACATGCACACATGGAACCGTGATTGTTGCAGACTGACGTTTACTGCTGAATTTCTAATTACCTGTGGAATGTACTTAAACAGTGCTCCTCTGGTGTTGATGACCACTTCAAACCCTCGACTCTACATTCCATTCACTTATTTACAACCATTCATACACTGTGGAGCTTCCCTCCTTGAACATGTCGTTAATCACACCTTTACATACTGCAGTACAAAGGCTTATTAGCATGGAGAGTCACAGTAGCTTGTTGTTGAAGTACATTAACAGATGTTTAAACTTTCAACTATATATAATATCTTTGACAGTAATAAGTAGTTTTCTTTAGGAGAGGTGGGGGTGGGAGGGCAGAGGCAAGAAAGCAGAGAGAGAAATAGTTCAGTGCTAGAAGGGTTTATCTGTTACCCGAAAGTGAATCAAAGAAGGTCGAGGGTTCATTTCCAGGCTAGTTCAGATCTCACCTCCATGTTGGTCCACAGTGTCCTCAGCTGGTCACAAGTACAGTACTAAAAACGACGGGAACCTCTGGACTGGTAAATATTGGGTAATATTTCCCAGTATTGTGTGTGTTAGTTTGAGTTAGTTACAATAGTAACATAAAACTTGTATGGAGCTTTTCCATTCAAAGAAATGTTACATTGTACCTTTAAGGCACCCCAGACACAGGCCGTCTGACTGCCTCCCTCCCTTTGACAATATTGTCCTGACTTTACACACAGCTCAGATGAGTAAATTTAGAGTCAGACTGTTTCCAATTGTGGAACTGGTAGTTTGAGTACTCTCACTGTTGCCTAATTTCTGCTCATGTTTCCACCAAAACCTCAGAAGCAATATGTATTTACCGACTATGGCAACAACACAATTGGGTTTTATTTTGAAGGATGTCCTCAAATATTCCTCACTGCCACTCTTCAGCAGTTTTGACTGCTCTGGTGTCTCTGCACCTACAGACAGACACTGAGGAATTTTTGTGGTACGCCATTTTAGATGTTCATCTGCTGTAATGACTCTGTGAAAGCCTCCATAATTTTTCAAAGGGTCAGCTTCACATTCCTTTGGCGTTCACAGGAAGTGAGATACAATGGGGGGACAAAATGGCCAGGGGCGTTGTCTACCGGCAGAGATACACACATGCTGACACACATACATACAGAGGAAGTAGAGAGGTGGTGTTAAATGACATGGGCAGACTTTTAAAAAAGAAAAAAAGGTGGAGGTTGTTGCTGCTCTGCAGTGTGAATGCAAACATGTTCCACTCTGTTGACCAGTGGCCTGTGCATGAGTGCCGCCCACAGAGACGCAATGTCTGCGTGCGCTGTGAAATGTGACAGTTTAGGAATACGCAGCATCTGAAACATGACGAGAATGTTTGTGAGAGTTTGTGCATGTGTGTGTTTAATTAAGGAAACTAGAAGAGCTAATGACATGACTGGGACATACCATCAATACCATTTCATGGGGCCTATAGATTTTTAGACAGAATTAGATAACTAGCCCTAGGCTATGGGCAACAAACGGTTAGAAAGTCAATCGCAGGACACCAAGGTCATTGGTTGCATCCGTGGAGTTTTCAGTGTCACGTTTATTGTGCTATTTGAATCTCTCTCTCTCTCCCTCCCTCTCTCTTTTTTACTAGTTATTAACTATTTACCAGTGGAAATAGACCAAATAGATTAAAGGAGGTGCTTGGGGGTCAGGATTAACATTTGGGAAGTAGCTAGGGACACGGTGAGATGGAGGCAGATGACCCTCTCAGGCGACCCTCGAAGGGAATAGAAAAAAGTAAAATATTTAATATTTCAAATTTAAATATTTTTACCAAGTACCATGATTTGACTTTTATAAATGTTTCCACAATAATAAAACAGCATTCTCAAATCATTGCCAGAGGTTATATCATCTCCTGCACAGGAGAGAGAGGTTTATACAGTGATTTAAATACCAAGCAAAACTTTAAAGGCACACACATGGCTTGGCTTGCTATCTGGAGTGTGTAGAGGCATTGGGATTTTGCATTAAGTAACCCAATCTATTTTGTGTGGAATAGTGGTCGATTATCCCACCTGTCTGACCAGGAGCAACAGCCCTGTGTGTTTGTGATTCTGATCCTTAAATCAGCAGGAGGGAGTGCCCATGTGTGGCATTCTCCAGGCACTCTTCTGCCCTACGTGGAATAATGATGGGTACAAAGGGCTACTGTGTTTGCAGTGGGGCAGGCACAGACCTCAGATTCCAGGGCACAGCTGCCACATGCACCGCAGGGACACACACACGCACACACAACTGTGGATTGCACGTTTTTTACTTACCCTTTCTGACCTGTCATAAATTCCAGGGGTTAGCTCCTTCTCCTTAGAGTGTACCATTATAGGGGAACCTTCTGTATAATACTTGTATTTAAAAAAGGTAACACATTAATTCAGTGGTTTGAATTGCACTGCTTGTGGGAACGTAATACAAATACTCAAAAATCCTAGGTGGCATTTTATTTTAGGATTTGATTTCCACAGAAGTTTTTCAGTGAGGTAAACAGATACAGAGTACTCAGTTTAAACCCATGTCCTCATCTCTGAATGAAGAATACGCCGTCAAAATCAACAAATACCAAACAGTAAAAAAAAATTCACTTCCCTTGAGTATCACCCAAAATGCCTAATGCTACATTCCTCTCACCCGTTCACACCCATCCTCTCACACATTCATGCAGAACAGCTATTCGCAGCACTTCGTCTTTCACACATTGTCTTTCCCACGCCACAGAAACAGTTGAAGAGAAAACATACGATTCATACATACAAGTTTTGCTCAAGGGCAGATAAGGAAAATAAGTTAAAAATAATTCACACTCTATGGTTACCATTAACATTCAGCAAATGTATTTAGGACATAGAATAATAATAATAATTATTATTATTATTATAAAACTAACTCAAAGTCATAAACAAATAAAAAACAAACAAAGACAAGACAAAACACGGCATATGTTTGCCAAAATAACCAAAATATAACCATAAAGGCATTAAAACATTACATAAACAAAGTTAAAGTAAAATAGCAAGTCCTTTTAATGGTTTGGCCAGATGAAGCATTAAAATCCTTATGGTTACTCGGATTTAACACCAGCCCGTGGTCATGTGTTGCGTCACGTTCTTCTCTCTGTCCTGTATGTAAGTAAATATAAATGGTATTTTTTAGGCTATGTCCTTATTTACATTAAAAAGACAACACCAGGTTGGATTACCTGTGGGGTTGGCTGTAGGGGCACCACTGACATAATGCCCTGGAAATCATTTAAAATAGCTTTTCATGGGGACAAAGAAAAACCCTTCCATACCATGGGCCTTATCACAACCATCATTGTGCCACAACTGGGTCCTGGGGCCATACTGTGGACATGCCTGACTAACACTTCCTTTTCGCATTAAGATAAACAAAAAACAACAAAGATATATAATTGTTAAAGGAATGTAAACATTGCTGCAAACACAAGTTGAGACCAATAACAAACATCTGTGTACCCAGTTCCAAAACAAATGTACTTTTTGTATACTTTTTTAAAAATATTTTAAATAATAAGTCCCAGTGCTCCCCTCCCCATCCCCCTCTCTCTCACCCTCCTCTCTTGTGGTTTTACGCTTTTGATCCCCGAGGGAGCTCGCGTTTTACATTCCTGACATTCCGACCTCAGTCCCTCCTCACTCACTCATTATCACCGCCTGCTCTCTCTCTCCAGCAGTTCACAGTCAGAGAGCGCAGGACGATGAGGCTCCGTTAAAACAGACTCGTGTGGAAAACGAACATTTACTGGGATCTCAACTCTATTTAAAGCCACATCGAAGTCGAGAAGAAGGTTTTGTTATGAGCTGGTAAGAGGAGCGACTTTTCTTTCTCTGTTTTTTCTTCTGACGCGTAAAAACCAAACCAAACACTTGGGGCAAACATAAATAGAAGGCGCTCCAGTGAAAGTTCTGTTAAAAAGTACCAAACAGTGAAGCAGTTTAATTTCATGAGGACAACGTGGTTTTGCCATAGAATAAAGATTGAGATTAATTTGTTTGACAATGCGGTTTTGTGAGATTTCACCCCCGTGAGATTGGAATTTTTGGCGCATGTATTTTGTGACTGCTGTGGAAAAAATGTCCACATCCCCTCTGTTGTCGCTGTTTGGACAGAAGACTCAGAGCGTTGCTATTCTCATGTGACTTGGAAAATACCAACAAAAAATGTAATTATTTGACTTAATAAAAACTGGGCCATACAGCCATGGCTCATCGAGGACTCTTCAATAGAGGGTCAGCAGCCCACATGGGGTTCGTGTGGGTCCTACAAGGTGGTCACAACATTTTTAGTCATTAAGTGATTAAAAAAAAATTACATGCCTCAAAGTATACATTAATAACAATCTAACAGTTTATAGTTTATATGTAATAGTTTACCAAACACAATTGTTTATGACGCAGGTCTAACCATGTTTGTACTGTGTAAATATCAATCTCATCAGCCTTAGGACTCATTCTACATTTTCTTTTTTTTCTAGGTCTACAGCTGATTAAATGAAAACACTGTTTTGAAAGCGGGTTAATATTTCTAAGAGAAAAAAAAAATAAACAGAACCTAACATGGCGTCCACCGAAGAGCCGTCCGGCACGGTCCTCCACCGACTCATACAGGAGCAGCTTCGCTACGGGAATCCAACAGACACTCGGACCTTGTTAGCCATCCAGCAGCAGGCCCTGCGTGGAGGCAGTGGAAGCAACAGTGGACCTAGCAGTGGAGGTGACATGGGCAGGAGCCCAAGATCATCCCTGGAGAGTCTTTCCCAGGAGGACCCTCTGTTCCCTCAGCTCTCTACGAGGCAGGAGCCTCAGGGCCAGGAGCATCAGGGAGACTACCACCATTCAGAAAGTGGTTATCAGCTCTATCAGCTGCATGGAGAGGAGCTGCCAACGTACGAGCAGGCCAAAGCACAATCGCAGTACCTGGCTTCTCAGTGGGCTTCTGTGGGCCCTGTCAGGCAGCTCCAGGACGGGACTCTCCTGCACGAGGGAGTCTTTCACGAGGAGGCAGAGATGGTGGAACCTAAGTGCGGCCATGTGCGCTCACTCAGTGAGCAGCGTTTGCAGATATCTCTGGAGAGAAACGACACTTCATCTAAGGCTGAGGCCTTTAAGGGAACGTCACACAGTTACCCTGAGCTGCCTTATTACACCTCGCAATTTCTTCAAAGCACAGGACCAAACCCGGGCAAACACTTGCCCCCTCCAGAATATTCGGTGCCCATTCCGGGCCAAGGATTTATCCCACAACAGGTCCAGGAGCCGGTGCAGGCACAGCAGCACAGGTATGAAAAAGGACAGGGTCGTATCTGCGGCCGTGTGGTCATGTTTTTCAAAACTTCTCCTACATTACATCATTCACTATGTTGTAGTGCTTTCGTACAAAGCACTGCCATATAATTACCTTCCACAGCTCACCATTGTGTTTCACATGCGTAAACACATACCAATCAGTGTGAGTCACACCATAGCTGCTGTACCAATTTCCTTCTTCAAATGCTTCACTGGAGAACGCGTCCAGCCCTGTAGCTCTCCGTAATGCTTGGCATACTAACACAGGATAGTTTCACATGTCTGCGTTGCCACAGATACTTTTATAAAAGCATGCTCCTCATATAGATGTTACCATTCTTCAGCGCCACTGGAGTCAGCATGTCTGCCGGGTGATAGACAGAATTAGAGATGCTTCGGATTCCAGTTCAACACTTATACAGATAAATGAGACAATTTAAATATAAGCTGTCTTTCTAATTCATAATGATTCTCTCACATAGATATGTGCAGTCGGCTCAGCAGGGTGGCCTCCCCTCCTACCACACATTTCCCTTTTT